CCACACACACACACACACACACACACACAATAAATGTTCAAAATAGAATTATAATAAAAATAAAAAAAAAAAAAAGATTTGCGTAAAAATAAGTGTTTAGCTCCCAGAGTCACCTCAGTCTTTGAAGGCAGATTAAGTGACTTGAGGAAATGTTGGCAGACTCCAGGTTACCAGCTGCATAGAAAACTGGCTTTCTCTTTCTCAGTGAGGGCACTCAGCTGTTGAGTCAGCACTGGCTGGCCTGCGCTGAGTGCAAAGCCCTGAGTTCAGTCCCCAGTACTAGGGGAAAGGTTCCCTGGGAGCCACACACATTGACTTATCTTTAGAAGGCCTCATTCAGGGGCTGGCAGAGGGTCTATGAAGGACCTAGATTGCATGTGGGGTCAGGACTGGAGTCACTTTGATAGAAGGTGCTGGCTTTTGTCTTGGATATGATTGGTTGGTTGGTTGGAGTCAGGGTTGAATTCACTTTGTAGCTCAGGCTGGCCTTGAACTGGCAGTGATCTTCCTGCCTTAGCCTGGGACTATGAACATGTGGCCCTTCACTAGTGAGAGAAGGTACTTCTTTATGGTAGATGAGGGGTCCAGCTGCCGCTTTGACCCTCACTTTGGCCGATAAAGGACTGCAGTTAGGTCAGTGAACAGGTACACAAGGAAATCCAGAATTAGACTGAAGCGACCCCATTGTGTCCTGTAGGCAGTAATCCCCACAGGTTCTGCGGTGCTGTTGGCGAGGACAGAAAGAGGACACAGGATCAGTGGTTTTAGGAAGGGCAAAGTCCGTAAGGGAGAGGCCTTGGGGATCAGATATGGAGGTGCAGTGCAGACTCCATGGAAGGCGTCCCTGGTGTGTCCTACAGTCCTGTCCCTGGATCAGGAGGTACCATTTCCTGTATTTGTCTTGTCGAAGCAGTTTCCCTGAGTAAACAAAATTCATGCTCCCGTCCTCAGTGCGTTAACCATGCCGTAACATGTCTGTATATTCAGAGGCATCCCAACTGAGCTAAGACCAGAGGCCACAGGACATTGCCACATCTATGGACATGAAAATATGGACCATCTGTCGCCTCCCTTCTCACATTCCCTCTAGTGAGAATTGAGCCCGCAGTCCAGTGAGTCACTGGAAGTGTCGCTCAATGGGAGAACCCAGGAACAGGTTCCATGTTCCAAATGTGCCCATTACACTGCCCAAATGCAGTGGTTCTGGACAACTCCTCACCCCTGGAGACCGAGTTCTGAGGGACATAGGGACCCCTTGGTCTGCCATTTTGCTATCACGCATATGACCTGCCTGAGCTGAGACTCAAAAGTTCTAAGTGTTCTATTCAAGTCTGTTGAAAAGGGCTTTTTCAGTTGAGTCAACCAAACTCTCACAGACATCTAGTGCTGTAGTCCTAGTTTTGTTTCAGTACTGGAGTGAACCCAGGACTCTGCAGAGCTACATCCCCAGCCCTTACTTGAGACAGTTGCAAAGTTGTTCAGACAGGACTCAAACTTGGGATCCTTCTGCCTCAGCTGGGGTGTCGGATTCAGGCATGCACCACCATGTCCTAGTTTTTAACATTTCCTTGCTTTGAGCCAAGAGCCAAAGGAAATTTAGTTCATTGAAAGGGCAGACAGGGTGGGAATGTAAGCTGTAGTGCTTGCTGTGGTGTGGAAGGAGAATGTGCTTGTGGCCCTCTCCTCTGTTCCAGTTGGGCTTGCTCAGCCCTGTTGGCTTGGTTTTAGCAGGGGGGACTGAAGCCATGGCCTTGTGTCAGAGCCAAGAGCTCCACCACAGCACCTCGTTCCCAGCTCCGCACTCACCCAGGCTGCTGACCACCTAGCGAGCCCATCTCTTAATCCCTGCTACCTTTCCACAAAGACTACTGTTACAGACTCATTTCAGTAGCAGAAGACAAAGTAGTGTTCATTGAAATACTTGGTGCCTGTATTTGGGTTATATATGGCTTTAACTCGGGGGATTACTTTGTGTACGTGTGCCTGTAAACCACTCTTGCTGTATTTGCTAGTCTCTGCAGCCCACCAAGCCCCTTCCCAGGAGGTCCCAAGCAATCAGGTTGGTTCTTAAGAAGTTGGGATATTGCTCAGGCCTGCTTTGACTGCCAGCTTGTGCAGCATATCACCTAGACCAGGGCTTCTTCACAAAAGCGTCCAACCAGAAGCCCAGGAAGGTGGAAGGCAGTCAGTCCACAGAGGTCCTTCTTGAGCTTAGATACAGCCAGGGCAGACAGTGAAAACCTAGAGGCTCAGCCCGCAAGAACCTGGCCCAGATCTTTCCTCAAAACACTTTCTCATTTTAAAATGCATTTCCGTGTTTGCTGTAGATTTGGTCTAGCAGCCAAGACCTCAGACAGATGGTGTTCTACACTGATCCCTGGCTCAGCCCAACTGGGCTCAGGACCGGAGAACCAGGACAGCTCCTCACTGTCCACTAGGTGTCACTGTGGACCAGCAGTAACTTTAGGACAAGTTTGCAATCAAGCAAATCTGAGGATACTTCTAAGAAACAGCCATGCCACTCAGAAAAATCCCCAACTAAGCTACATGGAGATTACGACAAAATGCAATACTAAAAATCACTTGATCTTCCACCTGCCTAGAGTCGATGGTTGCTGTTACTATGGTTCACATGACTCTTCAGTCAGGTTCTAAACAACCCTGTGGCAGACTACTGCAAGCTAGTATTCTTATTAAAAGAAATGATGTAGGCACAATGCCCCAAACTCCGTAGGAATCCTCCTTCCTCAGCTTCCCAAGTGCTGGAATTATAGGTATGCACCACCACGCCTGGCTCTAGAAACTAGTTATTTTAAAAAGATTTCATTTTCTCTTAATAAGTTTCCAAGCAGTTTAGATTATCTATGGGTACCACAGCAGCATCTAACACTGTTACTCCATATTATCTACTTTTTAAAAGAAATGATTAGGAGTTACTGTGAAAAGCTGCAGAGAACTCAGAACAAGACTGGGCGCCTTTGTTCTTGTTTGGCTTGGCTGACCTCACACTCTGATGCTCCCACCTCAGCCTCCAGGGCTGGGACTGCAAGCAAGCGCCAGCACGACTGCCACGAGGAAGGGAATCCATGGCCCACAGGCTCACGTGGGCCCACAGGCCTGGTAGACCAGTAGCACAGGTGCTCGTTCCACACACTGACCAGGCCCCAGCGTGCTTAGCTGCGATCCACATCCACACTCAGGATGGAAGGGCTACAGCTGGTTCTCACTTTATAGTAAAAGGCCACAAGACAAGGGGGTGGGGAGGGGCTGTCTTGAGAGAGGATCTTCTTAAATCCATTTCAATGCCTCAGGCTAGCCAGAAAGGGCAAGAACACAGGGACACAGCAGCCAGCAGAGGCAGCGCACCTACAGGCAAGTCCTAAGGATGAATAAAACTGGGGTGAAACATTTGATCTAGCACCCTAGCAAAACTTCGTAGTCCTGGTCAAAACAGACATTCCATGGCCGGGAGTGGTGGTGCAGGCCTGCCTGTAATCTCAGCAATGGAAGCAGAATTACCCAAATTCAAGGCCGCACTGGGCACTTGGCCTGCCCAGGACTGCACCCTGCGACAGCATCCCTCCCAGTGGCCCAGGGACAGTCTGGCCATTTTCCATGTGGATGAGGTCACACAGAAGGCTGGGAACAGATTTAAACCGTAGGAACTTTTAGAGTGGCTCTTAACCAAGACCATCTCAAAACACACTCTAGCAGCATACTTGAACACACAACTGTAAAACCAGATTTGCTCTATACAAGCGCTTCACAAAAGAATGTTAGAAGATGGGAAAGGTCTATGAACTGCACATCACATTGCTAAAACTGTGAGAAAAGGGTATGGGAGCAGGAGGGAGCCCCAAGATGACTTGCATTTTCTTCAGCGCTGGGCAGTGAACCCAAGGCCCTGACATGCTAAGGAAACACGGCCACCTTGGGGCCTACACAGCTGATTTTAGAAAAGAAATACGCTAGCATGACTGCCCTTTTTGGACACCAACTTTTTTCTTTTTTTAAAAATTTATTTAGTGTGTGTGTGTGTGTGTGTGTGTGTGTGGCCAGCTCAGCCCACCTGGGGGCGGGGCTGGCCGGCATGTGGTGCTGGGGATTGAACCACGGTTGCTGTCATTTTGCTTAGCTTAGCTTGTTCTAAGTAGGTGCTTTAGACCACTGAGCCATCTCACCAGCCCCTGGACACCCAAGTTTTGAACCTGAAGTTTTATGATAGACTGGTCCTGCAGAATGCACCGGTAACCCGGGCTGTCGAGCAGATGCACCAGTTAGGCAGCGTGCCTTCAGAGGACGCGGGCCTCTTCCAGGAGGCTCGAGGGTTTCACCTGCAGAGCGCGGAGACAGAAATAGACTCCGTGTGGTCTCGTGGCCTTCCCCTTCCTGGGCTCATCCGAAGACGCGCAGTGTGCTGTCCCGCACTGGGCACTTGGCCTGCCCAGGGCTGCACCCTGCAACAGCATCCCTCCCAGTGGCCCAGGGACAGTCTGGCCTTTTTCCATGTGGATGAGGTCACACAGAAGGCTGGGAACAGATTTAAACCATAGGAACTTTTAGAGTGGCTCTTAACCAAAGGCTGAGAACGTAAATTCTGTAGTCCCTCACCCTCCTTATAAGGGTTAAAAGACCACCAAATAGTGAAAGACCCAATCTGTTAACACGCTGAAGAACTCATTCAATAGCATCTGCTCAAATTCTTTCCAAGCTTAGAGCACAGAAGCACATTCAGTAACATGCTTTTAAACTATCAATCACATTCAACAGAGAAATAAACACAATTGCTTTATTGATTTCTTACAACTAAATACCGCCAGCTAGCGTTACTTCCACTTGCGCATCACTAAAAACAAAGGATATTTTCCTTAGTATTTTCAAATGATGCATTATATAACAGACAGAACTTAAAATGCACCCTGATTAATTATGTAAACTGTAAATTTTTTTAAAAAGCATAACTAATAATTTGGTTCCTTTCTTCATAAAATGGAAACTTAAATATTTCTCCTGATAGTCTTGAGGTTATCGTGACATCACGAGTAGTGCAAGTGTGGCACGCACTTTCGCCCAGGAAGGCGTGCACCTCACGCCTCCTCTGAACAAAACGTGCAGCAGACCAAGTGCATACGCGATGCAGTACAGAGCGGACTCCAAATACAGGGCGGCTGCAATGGCCTCTGTATTATTTAGGTTCTGCATTATCATTTATGGCATTATAGATTTAATTACATGTAACATACTCTTATACATTTAAACCCTGAAGATTCAAAAAATAATTGTTGCTTGAAAATATTATTCCAGGTAGCCATTTGGTTTGGATCAGGAGAAAGCCGAGCTCCGACCGTGGCTGTGCCGGAGCCTCAGACCCGCAGAGGCTTCACAGTGACGCTCTCCCCGCATGAGCGCGCCATGCTCCCTCGGGAGCCAGGCGGCCAGTTCAGGGCCTGCCCCCGGCTGTGGTTTTCCCTTTTCCTTTTCTAGGTGAAATGCGCTGAGAGCTCCTTCCTCTTCTGCGCTGCCACTCGCCTCCGGGTCAATTATTCATAAACCCCTTCAGGATGTCCTCGGAGAGCTCCATGAGCGGGAGCTCCGCGGTGGGGAAATCCAAGGGCGGAAGGTTGGGGATGGGGATGTCCTTGGCCTTCCCGCCACTGGTGGCGAACCTCGGCCAGGCGGGCGCAGCACCAGCGCTCTCGGCAGGCGGCGGCCAGCTCCACAGCTCGGACTTCTCCACGAAGTCAGCGTCCACGTCCAGCTCCTTCTCCGTGGACCCCTTCAGAAGTCTGGCCTTTTCGGCCCGCAGCTGCTTGTTTTCTTTCCTTAATCTCTCATTCTCGGCCACGAGGAACTCCACATGTCTCTTCAGCTCTGCAATCTTGGTCGCCTGCTCCTCTATGATCGTCTTATCATCCTTCGGGGCCTTGCTGCCCATGCATGGCTCGGCTGGCTCCCTCTTCTGCTGGAGTAAGTACAGCAGTGTGTCAGGGTCCCTGTCAAAGATGCCCTGGACTGCAGCGGGGCGCACCTCAGCCGAGGGGCTATGCACCGGAGCGGGAAGGGCGGCGCGGGCCTCGGCGTCCTCTGCGGGGGGCTTCGGGGGCACTGCATCCCGGTCTGCGCTCTGCTGCGCCCTGAGCCGCTCCTCCCGCTGCGCCCTCTTCCACCGCTCCTGGATGAGCAGCAGCTGCTTCATGTGGCTGTCGCGCTGCAGCTCCAGGGACAGACGGGCCTGTGAACAGGGAAGCAGGCCACACAGTTAACACCAAGAGCATCGCTCCTGAATAATCCAGACTTCAAATATGTACAACATGTTTGTAATTCAATATAAACAAAAAATTCCTAAACAACTGGGTATTTCCAGATAAGCTAGAGAAAGGTGTTATTACTGAACAGGATACCATTCGTTCAGACAGTCAAGAAGTCCTACTCCCGAGCAAACTAAGGGGGCTTGCTAGTTAGCTCAGTTGTTTAAGCGCCTGCTGGTATAAATCCAGTCAGGTGCAGGGACCCCTGTTTGATCCCAAGCTCCCCATGCCTTACCAGACCACCCCCCTTAAGGCAGCCTGAGCCAGCCAAAAAAAAAAAAAAATCCTTCCCAAGCAAACTAAGTCAGACTTTCCCTGGATGCACTTCTAACCCTCCCTGAACGTTAGAGATTCCCCCCTTGGTGCGCGCCACGTGGGGCGGGGCGGGGAGGCTCAGAGCACACCAGGGCACCGCTGCCAACGCTCCCAGCTCACTGTGATGCTCAGCCCGCGGCACCGCACAATGGGGGACACAGCTTCCAGAGCACAAGCTCAGGATGGGGGGTGGGGGGTGGGCCTGTCACCACGTTCCCTCATAAAAAGGATCGCCCTAGCGCAGTTAAGAGAAACAGCACCAGCACTATAACTGAGAAATCTTCTGTAGGTCTGGGGAGCTCAGCAGTAGTGTCTGCATACCAGGCACTACAAAGCCAGGGGTTCAAGTCCCACCACTGAAAAATCCAAGAAGAATCTTTTGTTATCCCAGTGCTTGAAGGCTGAGGCACAAAATCCCAGGTTCAAGGCCACGCTGAGCTGCATAGTTAGTAAGTTCAAATCCTGCCTGAACCAGAGACCTTGTCTCAAAACAAATGACAGCAAAAAACTCACAGAGGAGCAGGGGAAGTGTCTCAGAGGCAGAATGCCTGCTGAGCATGCACAGGCCCAGTCTAATCCCTGGCACTGCAAACAAACAGAATCCCAAAGAGGCAAGCTCTCTTCAAACATGGAAGACAATTTCAAGTCGTGGTAACTTTCCAGGTACTGAACCCTGGGGCCCGGCACTGACCCCCATCACCAGGCCTCTTAAAGGAGGACCTTGCTCAACTGCCCAGCTTGGACTGGAACCTGCAACTCCCGCCTCAGCTTCTCCATCTTGGGGTGCCAGGTGCACACCAACGTACAGGTAAAACAGTGAGTACAGGAACGCGAGCCAAGTGGGGCGCTGCACACATCTGTGTCAGCACTGCTAAGCAGGGGACACCTGGCTGGTTTCCCCAGGACAGCGCATCGTCTGTGAGCTACATGGGGTGAATCTGAGCTGACAACAGGAAGGTGGAAAGGGGGTCTGTGACGCCTCAGGCCTGGCAACCTAAGCCCTGCAAGGTGTGCTGCAGCAGGACAGATGTTCTGCACACTGTACCTGGGGCACCAGCAAGTTTGCATTTCCTTTCTAGAGTGCTACACTCTTACCAATTTTATTTTTGGTTTCTTTGGGGTCTTTGTAGAGACAGGGTCTCATGCAGTTCAGGTTTGCCTTCAACTCATTATGTAGCCCAGGCTGGCCTCAACTCATGGCCATCCTCCTACTTCAGCCTCCAGAGTGCTGGGATTGCACTGCCAATTTCTTTTCTTTTCTTTTGACAGAACTAGGGATTGAACTCAGGCCCTTGCACTTGCCAAGGAAGCACTTATTCTACTGAGCCATCTCCCTGGCCCCAGCACTGCCAATTTCACACACGTTTTTTACTCTCTCCTTTATTTGCTTTGAAGACAGGTCTTACCATGTTGCCTAGGCTGGTCTCAAATTCACAATCCCCTTTCTCAGCTGAAGTAGCTGGATTATAGGTGATTATCATTTGATTTTATACATTTTTTGATTAAGTTTTTTTAAAGGAATATAATATTTTTGTTTTATAATACAATTCAAGAGTCCAAGCGCCCTTGCTACAGATATGAAGAACATGTCTCACCTGCTCAGACTGTGTCAGCTTCATGGCTTCACAAAGATATGCTGGGAAAGAAAGAGGCACAGGCGCGCGTAAGTGTCGTCACTTGGTAATGATCAGAGCAGAGAAGGAGCTCTAATACTCCAGAGTACAGAACTGGCCTTATAAGCAATTGTGCTGTAACTGGAATTGCTTTTAAAAAGATACGCTTCTCCAGGGGTGTCAGTGGTAGTGAAGTGTAAATATTCCCTAGCCCACCTTGAGTCAGGATTCTGCTTTGAAGCCCTTCCAGGAAGCCTAGGAGTGCTGCTTGAGGGTAGGCGGCAGCTGCCCAACATGCGGTCAATCCCAATCCCGTAAAAGAAATCCCAGCAAGCCCCTAGAAAGTAGAGATGTTCTAGATTTGGGAGGGGGAGAAAATTAAATAAAAACCTATGGAAATCTTACTTCACTATGCTTGGAAAATGTCACGAGATTATCAGGCACTCTGTCCACCCAGACTCCTGAACTGTATCATTCTGACTTCCATTAAAAACTAAATTTATCAAACTGTTTCGGGGCTATACCACCAACCTACTACACATACAGTAACTAGTCAGGCGTGGTGGCGCACACCTGTAAGCCCAGCATTCAGAAGGCTGAGGCACAAGGACCACTGCAAGTTTCAGGCCAGCCTGGGCTACAGTTGAATTCAAAGCCAGTATGAAATACTGAGACCTGCCTCAAAAAACATACAAATTAACTAAAAGCCCTAGAATATGCAGATATTTACTATACAGAAGTCACTAAGGACAGTGCATCATACCAAAGACCTCTGATTCTGGTGACCTGGTTTGTCTGACTTAAAGACAGCCAATGCAAAAGATATTCTTCTCCTCCTAGGCTGACTGCTAGAGCACTATGGCCTGGGTTCTCTACTGTCCCCCAAGGCCTGTGTGCCCAGGGCTCAGGCTCTGTCTGGCACTATGGGGAAAAGGTGGAAACTAGAGATGAGGTCCAGGGAAAGCCAGCCAGGTGGCTGGAGTCAGCGCCCCAGGGACACTGGTCCTGATGCGCTCCCACCTGTACCCCATGCACGGGTTTCTGCCTTGCCACAGTTGCAACGACGGTACCAGGGACCATGGCTGAACTTCAAAAGCCATGAGTTGGGATCAATTTGTCTTCCTATTTAAGCTAATGGCATCACCTGTGATGTCACAGAAATGGAAAAACAAACACAAAACACTGGTACCCGGGAGTCTGGGGCTACAGCTGGCGATTTGGGTCAGGACCTCCGAGCTGGCCTACAGGCACGGCCTGACCAAGTCAGGAAAGGCATGCTCCAGGGAGCCAGCAGCTGGGACAGCAGGGCCCATTTGGTCCCGGCATGGGCAGCAACGGAGGCAAGGCCCCACCTGCTCTAGGCTCTGAGAAAGGCCACACGCTCTCCTGAGCCCTGCATTCCCCCTCGGCTGTCCCTTCCTCCCAGCCCTTTACTTCATGGGGACTTCTCCCACACAGCGCAGCTACATCTCTGGCTCATGACGCCTGCTGCATACCCAGAGGTAAATGAGCTCAGGTAGCAGTGCCTTCGTATCAACTCGACTGATGCCTCAACTGCATGCCTCAACTGATGCCTCAACTGCACACCACAGCATGTCTGTAGGTCTGACCTCCAGGCTGGGGGAGGGGTCCTCCACCCATGAGGGTCTGTCCTCACAGCTGCAGTGAGCACAATCTAGATGTGCGTCGTGGAGACGGTGGGGTCTGAAGTTCACAAGCAGCTTTAGGTCTCTCTTGATAGGAATCGCTTCCTTTCATTATGCAGAACACCTTGCATCACAGTGTGCACGTACGCTCATCTGCTCCACTCTAGCTGTCTACTAAACACAAAGCTTTATGGGCTACCCACTATGTGCCCAAATCTAGGGTCATACGTCTGCAGTAAAACTAATCTTAAAGTCCTGATGAGGATTTCCCCTAAGCAGCGCCAACCCTCCACCACCTCTGGGAGGAGCCGGTTTCCGAAGAGGGAGAGGAAGGCCTCCCACAGAGGGCCGAGTAGGCTTGCTCTATGGGGGGCCACACTTGCCCCCACTCCTCACAGCTTTTAGGTTTGGGACTCAGCCACAGAGTGGGCAGTGCAGGTCAGGTGAAACACCTACTTCTGAGTTCAACACAGGCAAAGCTGCTGGACTGGATAGGACACATCAGGCCTGAGAAGCGAACAACTCTGTCGAATTTATCCATCTGGGTGCCAAGGCCTGGGCCACAGAGCCACTACCCTCTCTGCAACAGGGTCTCACGGAGTTGCTGCCCCTGCCCGCCCCACAGCAGCTGGAGTCCAGCCAGCTCTTTCTTGGTGGGAGGGACATTGGGGAGAAGAAGCGGTTTTTTGTAATCCATCTTTCACAAAAGCAGTGCTCACCTGCAGCCTTTGTGTGACAAGAAATAGCCTCTTCGTACTTCCCCGCAGCTAACAGCCGGTCTGCGCACCTGCTCTGCTGATGAGCCTGGAAGATAAATACCCAAATTCCTCAGAATTATAAAATATATGACTTCTTAAAAGCAAAATAGCTGGGGTACAGCTCAGCGATGGAGTGCCTTAGGGACTCAGCAAAAAGAGACTTTCACACGATAACGCTGATGGCTTTGTTACACACCCCACATTATTATAGCTACTTCACCTCAGCCTCCTGGCTCCACATACCTCCTTTAGCATAGCAACTTTTTTTAAGTACAGGTCCCAGGGGCCGGGCAGATAGCTCAGTAGAATAAGCGCTTGCCTGGTAAGCGCAGGGGCCTGATTTCAATTCCTGGTTCCACAAAAAACAAAAACCAAAACCAAAACCACCAATAATGGAGTACAGGTCCCATTAAATTCTTCTGTGCCAAAACCAGGCGCACACCTGTAATCTCAGTACCTCGAAGGTTGAGGCAGGAGGACCGTCATGAATTGAAAGCTAGCCTGTGCTACATAGTGAGACCCTTTCTCAAAAAAAATTCTTATCAGGGGCTGGAGATATAGCTCAGTGGCATAAGCACCTACCTGGTAAGCACAAGATTCTGAGTTTGATTCCCGGTACCAAAAAACATAAAAAATTTATCAGAAATTCAACAAGTGCAGGTTACACACAGCCTTGGTTTCTTCTTTTTAATGTATCTTGTATAGGGTCTCATTACACAGCTCAGACTCATAATGATCCCGTTTTCAGCCTCCCCAGTACCAGGATTACAGGCGTGTGCCATCATGCTTGGTCTACAACCTTAGTTTTTATTCTCAGCTCAAAACACCATGACAGATGAATGGCCCAGGCTAACAACCTGCCTCAGTTCTCTCTAAAAATGAGAGCTGTTGCAAGTACAAAGATGTGCTGTGTGTGCATGGCTCTCCACAATGGATGTCACCGTTACATATGGCAGACGTGTGCTAATGAAATGGGAGTTGTACAAATCACTAAGCATCACTTCGCTCAAAATGCTAAGAGTTGGACAAGTACTCAGAACAGAGAAGAAATCCTAACAAAGCAGGGGGAAGGTAGGCCAGACAGTCCATGCAATGCGCACATTAGCAAGTGAGGACACCCCAGCCTCCTGCTGTAGTGAACTGGCATGCAGGCAGGACGCAGCTGAAGCCATTTACAACAGACTGATGAAACTGAGAGGTGAAACTGCCCCTCTATCACGGGGTTTAGCTTCACCTCCAGAGAAACGTACAGCTCAATGCTGTTGAACCTTTTAACGTCCATCCTCAACTTTAAGGAGGAAGACTTGGGTGAGAGTGACACCAGAGAACTTGGGCAGTATAGCAGCTAGCCCAGAACTGATCCTTTGTGACTCTTCTGGTAAATTTGAGACTTATGTAAGCCTTGGTTTCTTCTTTTTAGTGTATCTTGTATAGGGTCTCACTACGCAGCTCAGCTTCTATTATTATTTTGTTTCTGAGACTTATGTAAACATAACTTCTAATAATTCATGTTGTAAATGAGACTCTGGCCATTTTTGTTGTACGACTTTTTGTAACTCTTGTATAAAATGCTCACATTTAATTATGAACTGCCTTAAAATCACTCTCAAAGACACAAGACATGTCTGGCCCATGTCATGCAGCAGATACATAGTCCTTGCCTGTCACATTGTGTCTGGACTTGGGGCTGGGAAGGGGAGCAGCAGCCATGTCAGATGCTCAACTTTGTATGTAATGATGGAGAATAATTTAAAAACCTTACAAAGTTGCACTCAAAGAGTTAGGGGAACTGCCTTCACAGTCTTGGCAGTGGGCTGGCATGGCTGGTGCAGCCCTCCGCTTCATTTGCTACTCAGGATGCTGTTTCCATGCTGCCTGGGTACTGCGGGTCATGGGTCACAGCTGTAGATTGACCTGAAGAGAGAGCAGCCCGGGGCTAAAGCGCCAAATCCTTTGCACCTCCTTTACAAGTCCTTACACTGGATCACTAATTGACAATTAGTGATCCAGTGTAAGGAGTTTCCTATATAGAGTAGGAGAATGCCACATTTTTACTATCATAATTGGCTGGGCCTGCTGCTGTCCCTAGTAAGATAATTCTGATTTCCATTTTATCAATAAAGTTTGATTTAACAAACAAGAAAAATAAATACTGCCTAGGACACAGCATTATGTAAATCTATCATTATAGTAGTCCTATGACAGAATATAAAAATGTTGGAGTTGACCATGTATTTGGGAGAACTAGACTGAATTTAAAAACTAAAAATACTGTAGGAAAACTAGTTGGGTAGTAATTCTTACTTCTATTATTATTTTGTTTCTGAGACAAGAGTTTGCCATGCAGTTCAGGCTGATCTCAACTCAGGATGGCCTCCTGCCTCAGCCCCCCCCCCCCCCCCCCCCCAACAGCCCAAATTCTTTTCAGGAGCTTTCCCCCTATTCTCTTCTTCCGCCCAAAGCTTCAACATATGCCTTGTATACTCCTCTCCTCCCCCCCCCCCCCCCCCCCCCCCCCCCCGGTGTTGGGATTACACATGTGCAACATCATGCCCGGCGGGAATAATTTTTATTTTTAACAGAACTTTTCAAGACTTCACATTTTATTTTTTTTTTCTTTTTGGTATAGGGGATTAAACGCAGCACCTTCATACTAAGCTACTAGTATTCCATTCAACCCTTTCTCTGGTGGACAAGGCCTTGCTCAATCGTCCAGCTAAGCCCAAATTTATTCTCCCCCCTCAGTTACACTGGGTGCAAGGATCACAGGGGTGTGCAACCACAACCGGTCACAATTTCACATTTTACCACTAACATCTCTTTATATAATTCTCATCTATACAATTCTCAGTAGAATCTTATAGCCAGGTATGGCAGCACATTCTTGTAATCCCAGTGCTTGGGGTGCTGAGGCAGAATCACCACGAGTTCCAACCCAGGCCAGTCTGGGCTACACAGTGAGTTGAAGACCAGCCTGGACTACAATCTTGTCTCAAAAAAACCTAAATACTACAAAATGTGTGATAAAAGTCCCACCTCTTCTTGCGCTCTTCTCTCCATCGATTCCTCCGGAGCTGCCGTTTTTTCCACTGCCTCACTCTCTGGACACCTAAGGAGCCCCGTCCTCCCAACATTCACAATGCGGCCAAAGAGAACTGCAATGAAGCCACAGCTGGTGTGACACTCAGAGGCTTGCCAGGCAGGGCGCACGGGACTTGGAGGATGTGAAGCAGCCAAGCCTACTAGGCGCCCTGCTCTCCCTAGCACTCTCCCAGGTCCAGCACACTGCCTTGGGCTGAGGTTCACCTGAGGGGAGCCCCACCAGCTGCCAACTCCAATGAGGTTACCAAGCGCTGCCTTGCTGATGAAAACCTTTCTGACTCTATAAGCTAACTGCTTTAAGGGACAGGTCCGATGTATTTTATCACTTAGCAGTTAACGCTTTCAATGTATTAATGTCTGCACCCTTGGGGAGAGCTGTACTTAAGGACCAGAAGCCCAGCACATACACAACCCCAAATAGCAAGCAGAAGCGCCCCACCCCCCACCCCCCGCATTCTGCTTCCCAGGAAGGCCTTGTGGGGTGAGGGCTGATCTCCTCCCATCAGCTCAGGCCTGCTGCTGACTGGACAGGCAGCACCTACACACCATCAGCACCCACCCATTAATGGCACTGAAAGTATATGGGAAAGTGTGCAAACAGAGAACCCCAGGATTATTTTAAAAAGGGGCTCTTTAACCCCTTAATTTTAAATCTGAACATCAACCGCTTCATACAGCTCTGCCTGCTCTTTTTCTCTCAGCTTCCTGTGTACCTTTTTGTCTTTCGTCTCCCACAAAGACAGTAAAAACCTCATGCCCCATCTTTTACATTACAAGGGGCAACTCAGGAAAGAGTTATTAAACCAACTGAGTGGATCACAACTAGCATTAAAAAAAACCCTCACAGTCTCTGTGTGGTGCTAGGACCGAACCCAGAGCCTCTGCACCCATCCCTTTTTATTTATAGTATTTTGAGACAGTCTTGCAAAGTTGCCCAGGCTGGGTTGGGTTTGAATTCACAATCCTCCTGCCTCATCTTCCCAGAGTACTAAGACTACAGGTGTGTGCTACCATATCTGGCCTAAGAATATAATACTAGATCAAGTGTTTCCCTGCTCCTCTCCCTTATTCCCCTTCCCATTTGAACATTTTCTTCCAATTTCACAATACCCGTTACACACTTTGTTTCTTATTTACACTTTTGTGGCTTCTCATACCAGAGACAGTTCGGTATTTATGTGAGTGTCTGATGTATTTCACCTTAAGTGTGTGTCCTTAAGTGTGTGTCCTCAAGGTGGCATCATTTACAGAGGACTGCCTCAAGCTTATCCTTTATGGCAGAGTAGTACTCCACTGCAGAAAAACTACATCTTCTTTAGTCATTCACCAGGTGATGGGCATTTAGGCTGTGTTCAAGATTTGAAAGCCAGCTATTTATTATTTAGAGACAGGGTCTCGCTATATAGTTCAGGAAGGCAGTGAACTCACTGTGTAGCCCAGGCTGGCCTCAAATTTGCAGCAAACATCCTCCCTCAGCCTCCTGATTGCTGGAATCATAGGCAGGCACCACATGCTGTGCTGGGCCCAGCCTTGAGCAGGCTGAGCAGGCCACTGAGCCTGGACGTATTGGCGCATGCCTGTAATACCTAGCAGTGGGGAGGCTGAGACAGGAGTACCACTACCAGTCTCACCTAGTAGTGAGACCCTGAACACCCTATAGACTCTTCCCTAAAATTAAAAAAAAAGAATAAAAAAAAAATTTTTTTTAAAGTTCAAATGGGGAGTGGACTACCTCGGGAGAGGTGAGGGGGAAAGAACGAAGGCAAAAGTTTCATGAAAAAAAAAGGAAAATACAGTAAACTAGCTGGCTTTTACCCCAAAGACTTTTACCACCAATATAATTCACATCACGATTTCACAGGTTCCACTGCACGCTGGGCCACCCCTTGGACTTCAACTAAAGGAACAGCTTGTCTGACAGCTAGAAGCCTTGCCAACCACCTCCAGGAGGGGGCCTGGCCTCTCAGGGAAGCCCAGGCGCACTACAGCCACCAGTGCTCCTGACAGCAGTGCAAGAAACACCAAGGCCAAAAGACCCCAGGACCATGCCCTTCGCCACACATCTGAGCAGGCAGAACAGAATAAACTAAGGCCTGCCTGACAGCACTTCCCAAACTGTCAGCCAACAAACCAAAGAACTGCAAATGATCTTACTTTCAGTTTAACATTTCTTACTAACTCACCTTGCCAAAATTTAAACACATGGAAAGAAATGCCTAAATATATACTAAGTAATTTTCTAAACTACAATTTTTGCATATTAAATCACCAGAGTCCAGGCACAGAGATGTGCAACTACAATCCAAGCACTCCGAGAGTTGAGGCAAGGCAGCTTAGCGCCTTAACAATATCCTGTCTTAAACTGAAAAGAAAAAAAAAAAAAAAAAAAAGCGGGAAACAGATGTATAGCTGAGTACAGAGACCTTGAGTTCAATGGGGATGGGTGTGTGTGTGTGTGTGAGAGTTAACAAAAAAGAAAAAACTCTTGGTGAAACAAGCTTAGCATCAAAATATCTTTTCAGTCCAGTGGCATGGTACCTGCCTGGCAAGTGTGAGGTCATGAGTTTGATTACTATAAAAAAAAAAGAAAATTCAGTGTAAGTACACTTTCTCATATTTTCTTTGACCAACCTTGAAAATCTGAGAAACAGAAGTCATTATCCATACTAACTACACATTAAAATTAGTATTTCAAGTTAGTCTTTTCCAAATTTATTGTGGTGCCAGATGTGGTAGTACACACTTGTAACCCCAGCACTCAGGAGTCTGGAGCAGGAAGATTGTTGTGAGTTCGAGGCCAGCTTGGGCTACAAAGTTCAAGGCCAGCGTGAACTGCACAGTGTGACCCTGTCCAAAAAAGAAAAAAGATCATTGTGAGAAAATAAGCCCACCATCCTTACAAATCTAACAAAGCATACTGCAGCGCAGCAGAGCTATGCAGTGCTGACACAGAATCTGCAGTTCAGTACCAAGACATGCAAATGAGAACACAGAATGGAAACATTGCTGGCGAGGTCACATCAAAACCAGCTATGGTCCAAAATGCATGCATCTGAGTCTCTGGCCCAGTAATTCTTTCATTTCTCTCACTCCAGGTAGGAAAAATTTTTAAATTTTAAGGATATTGAGGGTATATGATTATAAGTCTAGGGACAGTAATAAAATGTCTAAGATTTTACTACATGAAATGAATATGGACTACGGTATTTTTTTTCTTTTTATACTGTTTTTATAAAATACAATTCATATGTACTAGTGGAATTTACAAAGGCACTATAATTGTAAACTATTTCTCTGAGCCAAAGAGATACTAAGTGCTTTGTCCTCTGACAGGAAAGAGAATCTTCTTGCTGGACCTGGTGGTGAACTGTCATAATCCCAACTGCTTGGGAGGCTAAGGCAGAAAGACTGTAAGGTTTGAGGCCAGCCTGGGCAACTGGGCAAGATCCTGTCTCAAGGGGGTGGGGGCACTGGGGAGATAGCTCGGTGGTCTAAGCGCCTGCCTGGCAAGTTCAAGGACCCAGGTTTGATCCCTGGTACCACATGCTACGCAGGCCCCGGAACCCTGGGCACACCATGCTAGACCCAAACCAGGCGTGGTGGCACATGCTTGCTGCAATCCCAGTGCTGGGGAGGCTGAGACAGGAAGATAACTATAGTCCAAACTACGGAGCAAGACTCTATACTAACTAAATAAACAATTTTTTTTTTAAAGGAGGAGGACCAGAGTGAGGATATAACACACTGCTTCCTGAGCTTCATCCCAGCACCGGAATAAATAAAACAAACCAACACTAATCTCGGTTCCACTGCTACATTCCAATACACACCTAAGCTAGAGACGTTACAAAAATGGCTGACTCCGCGCTGTACGCTGGACTACCACTGCCATTCTTGCAGTCTTTTGGGATACCAGACATGCGAGGCCCCTGGTTGGGACTGCATGGCAGCTTACAGCCAGGAACAGTGAAGCTAATTGGAATGGACCCAATGGCCACTTTGCAAAGGGCTGGTCATTCCTACCAATGTTTCCATGACGTTTCAGAACGGAGCCATCCATGTTTCACTGCAACTGTCGCCTTAAAACCAAGGGGGAGTTCAATCCTCAAGTGTAAACCAATCCTACACATGTGGCAGGGCCAATCTACACCCCTACCAGTGATTTGGAGCCACAGCTGTAGGTGAAGGAGACTTTAAAGCTGCTTTTCATAGAAGCACAACAGATCCAAATCCTTTACTCCAAAAATGAAATTTTACATTAAGGGCTTAGGCTTAGTTGCCTTGGGGGGGGGGCAGGGAAGCAGGGATCGAACTCAGGCCTGTTGCGCTTGCCAGACAAGTGCTTATTCTACTGCGCCATCTCCCAGGCCCAACAGTTGACTCTTACACTGTAAGCTATATCAGGTACACTGGACATTTTATTGCTTTTGCTTTTGTTGAGACAGGGTCTTGGTAGTGCACGCAGGCCTCCAATTCATAATTCTGCCTCAACCTCCTGGTTGCTGGGTTTACAAGTGTGCAGGTAATTACAGGCTTCACCCCACTTACTCTAACCCTCACAAATCTGAGGTGAGTAACTCACTCAAGGTCACACAGCTGTTAAGTGACTAAACTGGAATCCAAAACCAAGCAATTCGGCTTCACAATCTCGAATCAGACTTTACTGCTTCCCTGTATGGTCTGAACTAATACTCTTAGGTCTTACTCATTAGCTCTTTGAAAACTAATCTCTACTATTTTCGAGTCCCATCATCCTAAACGAGCTGCAAAGCCTGTGACGGAGTGGGGTGTGGTGGCACACGGCTACAATCCCGGCATTTGGGAGGCTGAGGCAGGAGGGTCGCCAGTTGGCCGGCTTGGGCTACCAGAGTTCAAGGTCAACCTGCGACTTAGTTCACGCCTGCAACTTCAAATCTTAAATTTCGTACGCTGAATTGATACCCTTTCCAGAAAAGGAATCGATGCAGTGGCCAACCTGCAAGTAAATGCCTGATACAGCCAGTGCTTGTTCTAAGAACGATAACCAAGACGCCTAAAGCCACTCTGAGTTAAAGGCGGCAGGACCGGCCCTGGTTACTTCCCGTCTCCAACTTCCCGGGGTCTACGCACGTTGCCGCGAGTGAACGTAAGCGAAGAGCGGGTAGAGCAAAGCGGGGTCGAGGAAGCTATCGCCGCACCTCTCCGGAGCTGGGAGGCTCAGACCGGACCCCACACCCAGCCCACTCCCACCCGGCCGGCTCCAGACCCCCTAGGGAAGGCGGCTACGTGGCGCGCGGCCTCGGAGCGGCGGCGGCGGTAGCGTCCGGCCCGGGCAGCCCACGGAGAGCAAAGTCTGGGGCGCGCTGCCCGGAGGCGCCGCGGGGTCACGGCCTGGCCGCGCCCCGGCCTCCGCGCCCCGCCCTGTCAAAGCCGCTGTCGACCCCTGGGGTCCACGGGCGGCGAGGACGCGACCGCCGGCTGAGGCGACGGCACCGCGAAGACACCGTGCTCCGAGGCCACTCACCAAGTTGAGGGGTCCTTCCATCACTTCCATAGGACCCTGAGGAGGCGGCGGCCCGAGGGAGGGAAGCGGCGGCGCCGGGGCACATGGAGGGTAGGGGCCGGAGAGCGCGACGCGGCGGAGGACCCGCAGCCCCACTCCGCGCACGGGGAGCCAGCGGCGAACTCAGGGAGCGACAACCACACCACTTCCTTCTCCGGCGCCGCGCTGCGGGCCCGCCCCCTGAGCCGCCGTGCACACGCACGCCGTCGTGACGTCACGCAAAAGCCGCGGCCTGTTCAAGGTGGGAATGAGGACGGGGGAGTGGGCGGGGCTCGAGGAAGATGGGGCTTCGACACGCGCGTGCGCAGTTCAACTTTTCTCTCGCGAGAGTTCGTCCTGGGCTTCTGGAAATCGACCCTGACCTGTCTGGAGCATGCGCAGTCTTGATACCTGGAATGTGGCTGGTGGCTGCGGTTGGCTTCTTTTCCTTGCAGCCTGAGTTTTCCTCGAGTCGCGTCTAGTCGACCACACCCGTTCTTCACTCATTCTTATCTCTATCCATGTACTTGAGTTTTCAAAAAAAACAGTTTTGAGTAAAGTTAAACCGTGGACTAGACCAGGCCATCTTGGAGGTTGACAGAGATGAATGATTCAGGGCTGTGCGCTGAAGTTGCTCACGCTAATAAGACAGATTGAGCCCGGCTCAGCCAAACTGAAAACGTGTGGATGTGGAGCTAGTGAAAATATTTGGTGGTGGGGAGGGAGGAGTAAAATAAGCAAGGTGTGATACGCATATGAACCAGTTCCCAAGGCTGAATAATTAATGTGTCGTGAACATAATAATAACTAAAAATGGGAGAAAAACAAAATTGTGACAGACATGTCCAGGGAACATTGTGGGAATTTGATATGTGTAACCCTTGTGCTCTGTGTAGTGGGACCTGTAATCCCAGCACTTGGGAAGCTGAGGCATGGAGACCGCTGCCAGTTCCAGGCCAGGCGCGGGTACATGCAGAACTATAGCTACTGCTCTGCTGGAAAACGCAGTTCCTGGCAACCCTGATGCTAGTAAAGAATTAAGGCTGAGTTTAAACTAAGACAAGTTGGTTTATCTGAAGGTGAAGAAAAGTGAACACAGGACAGCTAGGAAAAGTGAAACACTCACGGTGCTTCTCTGCAGTTCCTTTTGCTGGGTTCCTTCTTCCCAAGCTGCTGGATCTGGCTCCATGGCTGTCCTCGGTCGTCCACTTGGATTTCTCGGAGTCGTAGCAGTCTGTGACTTTTCCTATGGCTTGGTGGAAGCTAGGATTATGGGGCCATGGTCTCTCCCTTGATGCCATGCTGTGGACAACCACTCTCAGGTTCCACGGGGAGGCCACACAGGGTGTCCAGGGTGTCAGCACTTTAAAGGAAGACAGACGCCTACAATCAGTATCTTCTCTTGAAGTTTGGAAAGCCTGTGGGATCTAAGCCTGAAGCTCATGGCTGGCAGATCTTTGTACTTGCTGAGGTGTCTCTTTGCTTTACCTAGCAGAAAAAGGCAGTTGTCTCCTGAGGCAACCAGTCAACATTTACAGCAACCCTGAGGCTCCCCCAGGTGGGAGCACAGTGGACACAAAAGCCCTGACAGAAGTCTCTCCAGCAGCTCCATTCTGGGGCCAGAATGTTTTGGGAGGGGTCTGGCAGCTGGTAGTGCAGACTGAGGTGCCCTTGAAAGTGCAGTCCCTGTAAGAGTCCAAGCCTAAAAGGCCCACGTTTGTCACAGTAGAGAAATTCCCGATGCTTTCCAAAGAGTAAACCACAAAGCTTGATTTTAGAAATTTCATAGATACTAGCCCCTGAAACGGCTTTTTAAAAAATGTATTTATTTACCTGGGAGTGGTGCCAAACATCTTTCTCTCAATAAATTCTTCATACTCTTAACCTCTGTTGTTCCTATAATTCATTTCTTGATTTTTGAGAACATGAACTCAGTGTTTAGGACATCTAGCAGGTTGGGAATTTCTTTCCCCTATATCATCAGTACTTAAGAGGCTGAGGCAAGAGGATTCCCATGAATTTGAGACCAGCCAGGGCCACATACTGAGTTCAAGGCCAGCCTGCACTACCTAGCAAGACCTTGTCTCCAAAACATTTATGTATTTATTCATGTAGTGCTTGCAGTACTGGGGATTGACTCCAGGGCCTATACACTAAACTACATCCTCAACCCTTTAAAAATACATATTTTTAAAATTTTGAAACAGGCTAATTGCTAAATCACCTGTGCTAGGTTTGATTTTGTGATCCTCCTGCCTCAGCCTTGTGAGTGCTGGGATTACAGGTGTGTGCCACCATGTCACCACTTTTTTGTTTTTCTTAATGCCTGTTAAATTTCCTGCCTAGTATTGTAATCTTCTCTTCAACAGCGTGGTAGTCTGTTCTCTTCCTGAGCCCGCCACATCAAAGGAGATTGAGCTGTTTGGGGATAGCCTCAACTACTAGAAAGACATGTTACTGGTGTTTGATGTGCTAGAGTCTCCTTCTAGAGTTATTTACTAGGTTCTTTCTGCCCTGTTCTGCACACCTGTCCTGGAACTCTGTAATTAACAAAGTGCCACGCCCCCATATTCTTCTCCAGTTCTCGTTTGAACTATAACCTTTCTTCCTGTGAGTGCTAGACCCTGAGCTTTGCGGAGTTCACTATATGTGTGCACCCACACATTCGGCCCCCTGGTTTTCCTTTGCTTCTTTTTTTTTAATAATTCAATTTTATTTTATTTTGAAAAGTAAAAACAGAAGCAAAAACAAATAGAAAAAAGATAGAAGCCAGGTAACATACAAGACATATGTTATAGATTTTCAAAACAAGAATAGCTAATTAACAATGGTTGTTATATTACCTATCTTTATTGTCAAATCTGTTTTGTTTCTTTTTTTTTTTTTTTTCATACCGGGGATCGAACTTACAACCTTCCACCGGCCAGGCAGGCACTTGTGCTGCTGAGCAGTCTTCCCTGCTGTCCCCTGTTGTTAACATGTACAACATTCACACCCTCGAATCAGAAATCCCAATCGAAGACTCCTCCCTACAGGAACCCTAGCACGAGTATAGGGTATCATCTGGGCACTACACTGGAGCTCAGCGCTGCTCTCAGGTTCCAGGAAGCAGCCAGGCTGCTTGAGGACCTAGCACAGGGCTTCGGGTCCAGTGGAACATATGTGCGGGGAGTGGGGGTGGGGGTGGGGGTGGGGGTTGCGGGACTCTTCGTTCTCAGTGGAGCCCCGTACCGCCCAAGGTGGGTGTTGTCCCCAGGTCTCACTTGTTAACTTGGTTTCGAAGATGCCTCTCTTTGGCCCAGGGGCCCTGCAGAGGAGAACAGGACCCCTCCCTGTTCCCTGTAGTGCCTGGACAGCCTCCCGAATGTACAGAGGACAGAGTTCAAAAACGTGTGGCATACGTGGATTTGTGGACCATTCCGTGACTACTCCAGGCCTGCTCTCTTCCATGGTCACAGAATCTGCCGGCCCGCCAAGAGGGCACGAGTAGCAGTGGTGGCAGGAGGTGCCACATGCATCCTGGCTGCATGGCGGTCCCCGCTGCCTCTATGTCCTCTGTGTGGAGGGGTGGATGGACACATGGGCGCAGTGACTCAGGAAGCAGAGCAACCCTGCGCTGGCTGTGGAAACTGCAAAAGTGTCATTGGAGGCTGCTCTTCTCTGACCTGCAGGTGCAGCAATGGCCCATGGGTGAGCTGAACAGAAACCAGGGTGTCCAGGGCAGCGGGAGGCCCAGTGGAGACAGGAAGGACAGAAGAGCACAAAGCATGCAACAGGACGACCCTCCATTGCAGCCTAAGTGTAGGGAAATGAAAATAACTTAGTGTCAAAGTCACCTTCTTGCCAGTCCTTAGCCAGCCATGAGAGCATCAGAAATTAGACATTGGTGGTGCACTCTTGTAGTCCCAGCACTCTGGAGGCTGAGGCAGGAGGGTTGCTGTGAGTTCAAGGCCAGCCTGGGCTACATAGTCAGTTAAAGGCCACCCCAAATTGCAGAGTGGAGACTCTGTCTCAAAAAGACAGAAAAAAAAAGGGTGCTGGAAAAACTAGTTTTCCTAAAGATTAAAGATTAAAACTAGACCTGTATGCACTAAACTAAGATTGAAATAGATCAAAGATTTAAATATTAAAACAGAAACACTAAATCTGCTGGGAGAGCAAACAGGTAGAATTCTTTCTTTCTTTCTTTCTTTTTTTTTTTCTTTTTTTTCTTTTTTTTTTGAAGCAGGGTCTCAATATGTAGTTAGGCTGGTCAGAGATACTATTGCTTCAGCCTCTCCAGTGCTGGGCTTATAGGTGTGTACCACCACAACCCACTGGTAGAACTCTTGAGGACATTGGCATAGGCGAAGACTTCATGAAAAAAAAAAACCCTGATCATACAGAAAATATCACAAAGAATCAATAACTAGGATCTTATCATTTTTACCTGGGGACTTATCAAAGTTCCGAATCATGCAGCTCAGGACAGTTGGTTTGCTTTATACTGTTCTGGCCATAACAAAATCCCAGTGGTGTCCCCTCTCCACCTGCATACACAGAAGCCCAAGACTAATGTTTTGTTTTGTTTTTTTTTTGGCCAGCTCAGCCCACCCTGAAGTCAGGGCTGGTACAGCATGTGGTGCCTGGTTGAACCTCGGTCCCCTGCACCTGCCTAAATTTGCCTAAGCAGACACTTCAGGCTGCTGAGCTATCTCGCTGGCCCCAAGACTAATGTAATTTGACACAGCAGCAATAACCACAATGCAATAGGGTGACTGAGGTAGGTCTGCATCCTTCTACATTTTTAGGTAGACTGACACGAGAGGCAAGAAGGGGGAAAGAACAGAACTAATGCAATTGCCCCAGCTCAAGCTACGGACTCCATGGCTACCCTCTGGCACAAGTCCAGCTGGGGACTCAGGTGCATTGGGGACAGAGAACAAACAATTCAGACAAACAAACAAAAAGACAACAACATCCCAGAACACAATGTTTTTTGTTTGTTTGTTTTTCACATCAATGCACTGAGTTCCTTCCGCCACTCTGGGGGCAGTTAGCTGAAATCAACTTGTGGTGCCAAAAGTTACCCACAAGTGGTTCGCAGGCACAGAAGCTGGGAGGCCTTTTGCAAGCGCATCTTGGCCAGGGGGATCCTGAGGCTTGTTATCTGAAATCCTGAAAATGATTTCGAATGCATTGCAGGGGCGATGTAAAAG